GTTTGGGGTATTTTTTTTTTTTTTTACTATATGTTCATCCAATACAAGGCCCAAGAGCCACTCAATTTCAAGGGTTACTGAATAAGGTTGTTGCATGAGGAGGAAATAAGTGCAAATTATATATATATATAGGATAGATAATGGTTGACTGGTTGTGAAGAGGTTGATTGTATTGATTGTGGAGGTAGCAGTTCTTAGGAAGAACTTACAAATGGAATATGAAGAGAATATAAATGATTCAGTAGTAGAGACATTCCTACACTTGCAGGTTTTGTTTCGTTTCTTTTCATGAAAATCTAATGAATAAAATATTCATATATTTGGCAGCCTAGAAATAAAAACATCATCACATGATGGGCAATACTGGTTTTTTAAGTGACAAATATTTCCGAATCCTATTATTTTTCATTATTTTTATACCTTCTGGTTCGTAATATCTTTCTCATCAATGTCAGGCAATCCTCAGAAATTATAACGTTGTAAAGGCAAACCTGTTGCATCTTTAATATAAGTTTTAGGGTCCTTTTTCAATATTTACAGTAAAATGACCATTCTAAATTTTTTTCTTTCTTTGTAGATTATTTAATATTATAGTGGGTAAATTTTTAATGATTTGGTTGGTTGGTTATTTTGTTTTACAGCACATCGACCTCAGTGGGTCATTTAATGTTGACACTGTTTTGCAATGGATTTTAGCATAGTTGGTGGAACATATACATTGTATGTATATAAATATATATACATACATACATACATACATACATACATACATACACACACACACACACACATATATACATGCAGTAGTATTTGACCACTGGTATTTTTTGAGTACATTAATTTTTAACAAAATTTACCCTTTTAAAATGAGCTTAGAATGTTTGATATGGGTCTGATCTATGTGGAGAATTCAAAAAGGGCTTTTTATAAAGTTTAAGTGCCTGGACATGCCAACGATTGTTTCATCAGTGTTGACTAGATTTTTCTCTTGAAGATTTCCCCCTTAATCTGGATGACCAAGTTCTGTCAATATTAATCTTCTGCAAACCATCACTGAAAAGATTCTTGCACAAGAATGAGCAAAACAGATCAATACAAGTATCATATGGATCATAAAACACCTTCATGGACTTGGAAATGTGTCTTAACATAGTCAATAGGTCTCATCATCTGACTGCTTCTCAGCTAATCAAAGATTTGCCCTCTGCTTGTCATTGAAGAGTAGACTTGCTATTGAACTTTTCCTGGGTTCTCTATAAGCATATCCAACAACAACAATAGTTATCCCCCACTGAAAGAAGAAGAATCCATCCTCAAACCAGGACTACACTCCCAAAAAGTGATGCTCTGTGTTTGGTGATACATGAAGGATTTTGTCTATCATAAAGTATGAAACAAAAATTAAACAAAAGTGAAGTATTGTCGTCAATTGGAAGCATTGAACAAATATTTGCAGGAAAAGCACCCATCATTCATAAAAGCATGTTTGTCTTATATTCTAATGCAAAACCAAATATTGTCAAAGTCCTTAAAGAAAAGATTATGGCACTTGTGCGTGTATGTGTGTGTATATATATATATATATATATATATATATATATACATACATACATACATACACGCACAAGTGCATAGCTGAGTGATTAGAATGTTCACTTTCTGACCATAAGACCCATGTTTACATTTCACCATTGTCAATTTGTGAAAGAGGTGACTTCTTGATTTTATTATCCTGGGAGGTGACACCATTGGGAAGTGCCTGAAAAGCAAATCATGTGTTGTCTCAAGCTTTAGGCAGTTCTGGAGTCATCCTGACTGAAAGTTTGAGCATACTAGCCTTATTTAAGCTGTTGATCATACCAGATTGTGTGCTCCCTCTCTCTATTTCTCAGAAACTTTAACTAAGGTGCACTCTGTATAGTTGCAGTATAAACCACAGGTAGGCTCAGTGGTTGTTGAAGAAACACAAATATGCTGGAGCAGGTGTACTTGAAACTAGTAGTCAGCCATTATACATATAAAAACAAACACACACATGCATTAGAACAACTTCTGATAAAATTAAATTTTAGTACCATGACAATGACAACTTGATTGTTTCAGAATAAAACTGCTTTGAATTTATAAATCAATGCCAATTAATACAAAAATGAAAAAGAAAAAAAATGCACGCTATGATATCAATTTGGTCTTTCATTGGAATCTAATACTGTAATCATCAAAACATTTATTTTTCAAGGTTAACTATGGGTGTAATTAGTAAGCTTTTTGTGTTTCTCAACTGGGGTGCTCAGGTGCACTAATGCTCTCTAAAAGGTAATTAAATGCACCCCAAGTTAACAGAATTGTAATTTATCAATTATTACATTTAAAAAAAAATTAATTTTAAAAAGCTAGAGAAACCAAGCAAATGGCTTCCATGACTAAGTCAAGTTTTTGTCATTTGATATTTTAAACTGGATGATAAATTCCTTAATCTTTAAGAAATTGATAATCCTTTCCCTTTTGCCTTCCTCAAGGGATTTAGATTAGTCATTACTAGCCTCTAGCAGAGTCTTCATAAATCCCGTTAAATAAAAACTGTACTGCTTAAACGCACAATGTAATGTCTTAAAAATCAATGCTTATTTCAAGAGACTTCCTATTTTTAAATTCATCATTTTTCTTTATTAAAATTTAAAGTGCACCCCAAAGTTGTAGTTATTCTATAAATGCACCCTGAAGTAAAAAAAAAAGTTAAAAAAAAAAAAAAAAAATAGGTTGAGAAACATTGCTTTAATCAATTATCTGAGGTCCGAGTGTAGATTGAGAAATAGATTCATGCCTTTCTAAATCCATTAATGTCAAGTAAGTATCAGAATGAGACCATAATTCAAGCTCAGAATAGACATAGCAACAAGGCTAGATGCTAGTTTTCAAATTATAGTCTTTAATGCATTTTACTAGACAAACAAAATCAGTTCTTTTAAGGACTTAAACTGAGCTTTCTCTTATATTTATTTTGTTTGTCATTTTATTGCTCCAATTCTGTAATTTCATTAAAAAAAATGCACTGAACTTTAATTTAAGATTTAGTGAATTTCTTTAACTGTGTGAAAATTATATCTGAGGATTTTTTGTATATATAAACCCATATTGAATGTCAGTATGAATTAGCAGAACACATTAGGAAAAAGGATACATTCTTTAATTTAAAATATTTTCAGTATTTTATAGCATTAATACTGATATTATAAGTTCAGCTTAATTTTTCATTTTTAATACTATAAATTTTTCAGACAAAAATAAATAAGCATTTCATTCATTTTGTTTTTCCTTTAAATTTGTGGCATGTAAAAATCATTGCATTTTCCATTTATTTTGTATTGATAAAGCTATTTTTTGTTTTTACCACAATTTTTTCTTATTTGTATAGTAGACAAATTATTTACTTATTTATCCAGGCAACTAATTAAGAGTTTTTTTTTTTGTTTTTTAGTTACTGATCTGTTGTTAGCAGTTTCTGATCTTAATCAAGGAATTAACAATCAGGTTACTTTGTAATCCGTTGCTTTGCTTATATCAAAGTATTTTTGTTTAAAATAAAAATTTTAAATATTTGTCTTCACTATATCGTTTTTCATTGATGACTGATTGCTTTTTATGCCTGAACATTTTGTGGGCTATTTAAAGCCAAAACCGATTTCAGGTTGTAGGCAGTTGCTTATAGTATCTGGTGTTACTAAGCAGCCCTCCATCTAAATACTGACCAGGCTCAATACAGTTTAACTTTGGTGATCAAACAAGGAGTTTTATGTGCGATTTGACTGTGGGTTTGCAGATGACTTTTTGCCTGCATTCTTCATATGAATAACTATTACTGAGAGTAAATCAATTTTAAAAGGCTGGCCAAGCCAACTGCTCAAATTGGTACCAAGGTAAACATAGAAATTAATAGAAGGTGGGGAGGAAGAAGTCACTTAATTGGAATTAGAAATAAAAAAAAGAAGCTAAAAATACAGATAGAGAAAATAAAGATATTTCATTTCTCTTTTTCTTGGCTTAACGAAGCAGAAAAATATATTAATTAACAATTAACATTCAGTAATTATTGCAATAAATCCATAGAACATAAAATGAAGAAGACAAATTGTTTTTGTTGTAGTTATGAATTCCAAACTTACAAACCAAAAATATTTTATTATCATCATTATAATTTTAAACACTGGTGATTTGGTGGAGATATGATGCTGCTTTTTGTGTCCAAAATGGAAATATCAGGCATCATTTCATATTGGAAAAAACGTTAGAAAAATTTTATAGGCAGTTAGTTAACAGATATATATGACAAGAAAAATAAATAACATCAGTAAATACCTTCTTGGGATATGTCTATATTTTTTTTCTTCAGCATCAGAAACATTTTTACACCCCCCTCCCACATACACACAAAATTGCAGCTACTAACCTAGAAAGAAAAAGTAAAGAAATCTTTTTTTGTTTTTCTTTTGGAAAAAACACATACACACAGAATCAGACAAAGTGTTGGAATCAATGAGAGAAAACAGATGGAAAATTGTAGACCAAACAATTTTAAACAATAAACATTAATAACAACAATCTGTAATAGAAAGTAAAAGTTGTCTTGTGTGAATAAATATTTCCAATGGGTTTAAAAAAATAAAAGAATAGAATGAGTAAAAAAAAAAACCCCAAAAACAGCCTTAATAACTTCACTAGTTAAAGAAAAGAGAAATTGAAATTGTCAATATGAGACATTTTAAATCTAAAAAAAGAAATAAAGTTTTAATTCACTCATCACTGGTTTTTACCAGTAGTTACTATCCGAACCCAAGTGAGAATGTAAGTATATATAATTTTAATTCAGATAATTTTGATAAATGATTTATTTGGAGGGTATTTTTGTTTTTTAAGTACAAGTATTTTTACCACAAAAAGAGAGTGTATATGTGTGTGAAAATATATACATGGGAAAAAGAAAAATGAAGATTATGGCCATATATTGGAACACCAGTTCCTGTACAATCACCAAAGGTAAGCAATGCCAAGCCTGGTCAGTACCTAGATGGGTGACCACTTGGAAATACCAGGTGCTGTAAACTTGGATGTGCGGTTGATGTAATGGATAATGGCTCAGAATTGTTAATTGGAGAGCTGAGTCCCAATTCCAGCTTGCTTGGTTATATTAAGTCACGTGCAAATACCCTTAGGAAAGGTATGTATTCACCTATGCCCCCGAGCTAAGTGTTAATTAGTAACTTGTACTACAAAATCATTATTGAAAAAAAGAAAAAAAAAAAAAGCAAAGCAATTTTATGTAGAGAAATAGTGGTTAGGAAAAAAGTATAAAATGTTAATTTCTTTTGCAGGTATTTGTTAAGATTTTATGAATACTCAGAATTACCGAAAACATCACTCTTCAATATTTTCTAAAAATAAAAAATGCAACCACATTGTTAAATGCTTTTCCCACTCAGTATTCATTACCCAGTAATTAATGACAAGTGCCACAATTTATTTTCAAACAAAACATTTGTTATTTAAAAAAAAAAAAAAAAAAAATATTAGTAAAAAGTGGTATTAAATTTATTTTAAAAGATGATGAAATATTGATTATAAAGAATCAAATTTGAAAAACAATTAAATAAAATATTTTTTAAGTAAAGAAAAATTTTGATGGTAATTATTGTAATACAAAGTAGTTAATTTTCTTAAATTTATAATCATTCAGATTTTTATGTTTTGGCATAAAAAATTTCAACCACTTTTGTTTAAAGATAAACGGAGGATTTATTAGTTGGTCTTTATTTTATCACATAATCCAGGATACATCTTTTAAAAGAGTCCTGATTACCACAAAGCTCTTTTCAAGTTCAGAAAAAAAAAAAAAAAAAAAACTGCATAAGGATTTAAAAAATGTGACAAATAAGGAGAAAGTTGTTTTGTGTCATTTTAACAGCAATTATAAACACTGAACGAAAAAAAAAAAAAAACAACAAAAAAAGTGTAAAGGTCACACGAACCTATCTGTTAGTGTTACTGTTAATTAAGATGATTTAAGAAAAAAAGTTATTAATTTATTTCAAAATGAAAAAAAAACAAAAAAAAAAAACAAACAAGCAAGAAAATTATTTCTTTTTCTTTTTTTATATATTGAAAGTAGGGGACAGGCAAAAAAGAGAACACATTTTTATCTTGATTCAATCAACAAAGGTTTTCTTTTTCCTAGGTGAATGAGTAACGAATCTCACCTGGAATGAAAACTCCAGACTTCAGTTTAAAGCACTCAGCCTAACACAAAATTGTAGTTAATTTTGACATAAGACACAAATAGGCCTGTTTCAAATTCATGTGTGCTTTCTCTCTCTAAAAAGAACAAAAAAAAATCCTTTTTTTAATTTTCACTGAGGGAAAAAAGTTTCATGATCGTCAAATTTAATAATTAGGTGTTCTTAGTTTAATGATATGAGACAAAATTAAAGAATTAGTAAATTATCCAATTTTTTTTTCTCCATAATATTTGTTTTTCTTTTTACTCTGGGGTACTAGCTGAAGTTTGATAGATCCAACTTTCTTCCACAATAGCCTTAACCCTTTTCTCATATTCCCTTCGATTTTCTTGATAAAGTTGGGCAGCTAAATTATTAGCTGGGCTGTTTGGGTTTGGTTCATCAAGAAGCGATTGAATTGATGTTAAAATAGATGAGACGTCGTAGGTGGGACTCCACCGATTTTGCAAAATGTCCAGGCAAATACTGCCATCTGCATATATGTTGGGATGGAACATTTTGGACGAGAAACGGACGGTGGGTGGCTTGTTTGGGTACTCCTCCGTAAATTTGATGGTCAGTTTAAAGGTGCCATCCTCGAATGGGGTATCTGTAGGTCCAAAGATAACAGCATTCCACAACATGATGTTATTGTCAGTTGGGGCTCCGCTGACCCCTGCAGGAGGATCGTTTTGCAGGCGCATAAAATCTCTCATGAGGCGACGTCGGGCTGGTGTAGACATAGTTCTTATAAATAAAACACTTCTTTCGGAATTGTAGGTTAATTGCAAGTAGTAACAGCTGCTAAATAATTTAAATGTAAACCAAGAAGCTATATTGGCCTTAAATTTTCACCTTTTGGCTTTGGGAAATGACTGGACTGGAGGGTTTAAAAATGATTTAGTTATTTTCTTTTAGAGTTCAAATTGTTTTTTTTTTTTTGACAAATGTCTTTTTTAATTTTTGAACAATCCGGAAGCTTAATAATGTTGTAGTTTTTTTTTTTTACTTTAAAGACCCGTTCTTTTTTTCTTTTTGTTGAGCAATTTAGTTATATTTTATGAAATAAGTTTTTTTTTTTAAATTAATCACAATTTGAGTCAAGCGGATATCGCTTCACTGTGACGTTATCTTTTTTTACCCCACTTGACTGGGTTGGGCGTTGTTTATTTTCAGCTTATACACAACAAACAATAACATTAACAACAAAATAGCTTCTTCAGTGGTGGCTTGTATGCATGTGTATTAGTAATAAACCGAATTTTAAAAATAATCTTACAGTAAACAACTTGAACACGATAGTTTTCTAATTTTCATCTTATTGTCTATTTTTTCTTTGTTAAATGTTGATTATTGATGTGTATTATTTTTCTTCCTGGTCCATTAACAACGAAACCACTTACCTAGGCCAACTTAAATCCTTAAGTGGACCGAATATAAGGTTTGCTGTGTTTTTCTCACTCCATTTTTATATACATAAAAGTACGAAGATTCCGGTTGATAATGATTATTATTTTTCGGTGAACTGCTTTGTTTAACGAAATTCCCCTTTTTTTTAGTGTTTCTTTTTTTTTTTCTTTAAATCTTCCGTGAGAAATAAACAATAACAAAAAGATGACTATGTCAATCACCCCAACTTCCGGTTTACTCTCTTGTAATAGAAGGCGAGAAAAAAAAATGTCTGCGTGCGCAGATCACGTGACACAGCAGCGCGCGCACACACATACACACACACACACATATCTACAATTAAGATCTGCTTTTTGAGTATTTTGGTATCTCAACTGTATATCAAACTCGATCAATAGAAGAAAAAAATAATATACATAGAGTTTTTAAAACACGAAAGTTTACATGCTTTCTCTTGTATATATATATAATGTCCTACTCAAGTTCAAGACAGATTTTAATTAGCATCTTACTTTATTAGTCCTCTCAAAAAGTAAGACAGGTAGGAACAAAAAATAAATTGTGGAGTACATAGGAAATTTGCTCATAAAATAATGAAAAAAGCCCTTAAATTGAATTTCAAAATCATTAGTGCTTAGGGTTGAATTAATTAAATTCAAATATTACTGTAAGTACATTGTGAAATGTTTGACTAAGTATTTAGACAATATTTGACTAGTATTTAGACAATATTGTTTTAATTTTAACTAAAAAATGCTGCAAGGGAAATAACAATGACATTTTGTCTTGGCATCACAATGTTTTTTTGTTTTTATAAATACTTTAATATTTACTTTTCATTTCCTACTCTTTTTGTTAAGAGATGAACTAAAGAGTATTGAGCTATTTATTTCTTAAACCAGTTATGAAAATGTATTATGCATTTATTAGTACATAATACACTAAAATTAGATATTTAAATAAAAGAAAATGATTGCATTTAAAAATCTGTTAACTGTTTAAAAAATAGGTGGGTTTTAAGATATTTAAAAAAAATATAAGATTAATTTTATTTTATAACAAGGAAAAAATCATGTAGCTCAGCTTAAGAACTTTTCCCCAATGCAATTTCTCTGAAAGAAGTGTAATAGTTAATGTTAATTCTATGTAAAACTTACTTCCCAAAATATCCAATGTATTTTGGAAATCAAGACTTCAGAAAATTGACTTTAATTAACAAGATTGATTATTTTATAGAAGTGCAGCATACCCTGATTTTGTAAATAAAGGTGTAGTGTCACCAATTGTAGACGGTTTTGCATGTGGGATTCAGTTGTGGTTGCACTACGTTTATATTAACGATATTTCCAACAAATAAGTTTCAAGTAATAATAACAACAACTCCAATTTGTTAACCAACAAATATATATTGAATAAAATACAACAAGCATGAAATGTTTTGTTATTCACAATGTAGATTAAGAGAAAGAAGTTGTTTCCCTTTAACTGTAGATTGATTTGTAATTGATTGTTCAAAGAAAGTTCTCTTGTGAGATAAAAGTTCCAAAATAATTATTAGAGCAAAGTTTGCATGTGAAGAATACAATTGCTTGGTATGTGTTGTGAATAAACTGGTTTGAATCAACAAAATTCTGGTTGATTGTACTTGGCAAAAGTTACAGAGAGAAAATGTAAGTTTGTAGTTATGAAATTCTGTGTGTGTGTGTGTGTGTGTGTGTGCGTTGAGCAAGCTCATGGATTGTGTTGACGGCTGGGATCTTACTGGCAACTTGCAAAAATTTGCCCCTTTTAAGGAAAAAAGGTAGCCTCCCATGGGACCGCGGGAAAAAACGATCTTACATTAAAAATATGTGATTGGTTAAAAATTAACCAATCACTACACTTGTACTAAACAGAACAGGTAAGTATACTATAGAACCAAAAGATTCAAAGGAACGACTGCAATGGCTAAATTGTCATGAACATTAAGTAATTGCTACTTTGTTTAATGAAAGAAACATATATACATCAGAATATCAAAATGATGTTTTTTATTAAAAATATAGGTTATCTCCCTTTGGTAGATAATACTTGCTGAAAATAAGAGTCTATCAAACTGATGACAATGGGTAGGACCCAAAGGTAGGCACAAAATAGGTTTTCTAGCGCCAACTCGAGACGCCAAGAAAGACGTAGAGTGAAGAGACATATTTCTGCCCACTTCCAGAACAGGCATATTGGCCACAAGCTAACCTGAATAATGCAAGAACAAAGCAGCTAATACAAGCAGAATATGAACACCATTCAGAATTTCACCATTAGCTCTAATAGGACGCTATCCATGGCCATTTATACTTCAGTATAGTCCTGGGCAAGACTTTAAACTGTATCCATTTCTTGGTCACTTTATGACATTGGCCATCCCATTCATAACCAACTTGGCCCTAAGTATGACTGATTTACAGCCACATCCTGACTAGTTTTATCTGGCTCAGTATTGTCCATGATCAAGATATGAAACTGTATCCGTGGTAGTGTAGCTAACATGCACATAAGAATTTACTTCAGAACAAGTGTTAAATTTAAAATATTACATATTTGCAAAATGCAAAGTATCTCTTGAAATAATGCAAGACTTATTGTGCATAGAGGAAAAACTTAACTGGCAACAGTTTTTCCTGTTCATCTGTACTTTCAAGCCAAGGATTCTATCTGGAATTCATCTATAAAATCCTGACCAGTCCTGTCCTGGGTAAGACTTTAAACTGCATCTATTTATATACCAACCCTGTTCTGGTTAAGACTTTAAACTAAATCTGGTGATGAGGCCCCGCTTGCTGGACTTGGGGAATATGGAGTCACCCCTTGATTGTCATTACTCCTAGGTCCACTCTGACCTGGAGTGGTAGTACCTGATAGGGTTTTCTTTGATAAGACATTAAACTGTTTATATGCAATTCACTGGAGAATTCAAAACAGCAGAACTTTTTACCACATTGTATTTGTTACAAATGTAATTAACCAATACTTTAAAGAAATGATCCAGCTAGATATATAAGCAACATTAACAGGGCATAGCCCAAATGATAATTTTGGTTGAAGGCAACATTTCTCAAAAGAAGATCCAACCAAAGTGCACTTCAGACTACCTATGTCAAAAGAAGTGCCAACCAAAGTGCACTTCAGACTACCCATGTCAAAAGAAGTACCAACCAAAGTGCATTTCAGACTACCTATGTCAAAAAAAGATCCAACCAAAGTGCACTTCAGACTACCCATATCAAAAGAAGTACTAACCAATGTGCAATTCAAACTCCCCTTGAACATTTGATCCACTTCATGATGACAGGCTACTATGGGAAAGTTATATGGTTCAACAGAAGTAACTACAAAGGTATCCTTTTTTAAATCATGCACACTCATAAAAAACATAAATGTGGACAAAACAAACTATACAACATATAAATAATAAAATGTAGTGTCATGAAAATAAATACAAATGACAAAAGAATAAGTAATATAATTTTTAATTAGTATAACTAATACTTGAAATACCTTAACAAGGGTAGAAAATAAAATTTATTAAACAATAAATATAATAGTGTACCAGAGTCGCATGTTTGTTTTGCAAGGGAGTGTGGAGACGGCGAATCAACAAGCTTCGGACGGACGGTGACTCAGACAGCACTTTGTGCTGATGGAGGTGGTGGTGTTGCTTGTAGCCATTTTTATTAGCTGGTTCTGGGCGCTCATTGGCTGGGTGCTGGCTGGCTCATGTGTATATATACACTCATTTAACAGGGGTTCATTTTTTTTTTTTTTTCGTTTGGGACGATGAGTAGCGTATTGGAGATTGAGGTGAGAAGTGTGGATTTGTTTTACCTAGTGAACCTATTGGACTTGTACTACCTTTCTTTTCCTGTGAGTGCTTCCAACCAATTTTTGCAACATGCATAAAGAGGGAATAATTTGAATTGAATTAACAAATTTACAAGTGTCTAAAAAACAGGTAAGACACTGATACATGCATTCACTAAAAATTAGCCATAATAATGCCAAAGGGTATATCAATAGTAATATATCAAGGACTGTCAAATTTTGCACCCAGTGAAGTTATTCTTATTGAATAGCTCTAAAATATTAATTGCCAAGTAAACACCAACTTTTACACTAGTAGGATGTGGCTATCAATTTCTCTTCTATTCAGTATTTTATATTTTTTATCTGTTGAATTGATGAAAATGCTTTTGTATTAATAAAGGATTGACCTGTTTATGTAACAAATATTATACTATTAAAGAAATATTTATTGAAATAATTATTGTATAATAAAGAGGAACTATATTATGATCAT